TACCTAGGAAATAATGGTGCAGGGAGGAATGCAAATTCCAACCTCTGGACCCAACCTTTTGAAGCTGAGCCCCGAGGAGAGAACCATAATCTGACACATTACCTATTCATGGTCTCTGAAGATCAAAGACACAACCTGTATAAAGGAAAGGCTAACCTATGCATGTGTGTGCTAGGTGTGAGCTAACTGGTATGAACTTGTAACCACTGAAAACCCCCTTGTGGGGTTTGAAGGTCTGATCACCTGCCAGAGCACTTGTTGAAGTTGGGGGTGATCTCTGATAAGCTTAGTAGCATGGGTGTAGGTTTTGTCACTCTATTTCCACAGTTTTTATTGAGGTTTTTAATGTTTTTCTTTGCAATACTTTCACTTTAAGAATAAATGTGCTGGCCTGAAAAGGACTGTTTGGTAATTTATAACTGTGGGCAATGATGCTGTTTATAGCCTCTGGGGAGAAAGCAAAGCAGGCCTGCTTAAGCAGTCTGACTTGCTGGGGAAATCATAATGTAGGTAGGGTTACCATATTTAGCAAATAAAAAAAGAGGACCCTCCACGGGCCCTGGCCCCGCCCATTTCCCCGCCCCGCCCCGACTCCGCCCCTTCCCCGCTCCAACCCCGCCTTAACGCCGCCCCCTCCTCCCTCCCACTCCCAGCCACGCGAAAAGGGCTGCCCGAGCGCTACCGGCTTCACGGTTTGCTGGGCAGCCCCCAGACCCTGCGCCGCTGGAGCCCGGGAGGGGAAGTGCCCGGCCAGGGGTGCAGGGTCTGGAGGCATAGGGGCTGCCTGAAGCCCATAGCGCTCGGGCAGCTCGGCTCTTAAACAGAGCCGAAGAGTCCAGGGAGGAACAGAGCCGCCGCGGGAGAGGAAGTGCCCGGCCGGCATTTTCCCGGACATGTTCGGCTTTTTAGCAATTCCCCCCGGACGGGGGTTTGACTGCCGAAAAGCCGGACGTGTCCGGGAAAAACTGGACGTATGGTAACCCTAATGTAGGTAGGGAACCATGCAGCCCGGAAAAACTGAGGTCCAGAGAGAGAAAGATGCGGGTCTCCACCCAAAGGAGATGATAGCTGAGGAGCTGCAAGCCTAGACTGGGTGCCCTAGCCCATGCCCATGAGTGGGAAATGCAGATGCAGTTGCCCTCAACTGTGACAGAAGGCTGTAAAGTTAAATAAAATGGTTGGAAGGGGAAAGAAAAGGTTGATAGTTACCATCACTGCTATTTTCTGCCTCACATCTTCTGCAATCCAATCAGCTGATGCCAAATGGAATCTAACTTCTGCCTTACTATTCACTGTGGGTGAAAGAAAGAAGGGAATGTTTAATTCATCTCATGCAATTCACATTCAAAAGCAGCTGGTGATTAGATTGCCATGATTATTCTAATTTGAGTGCGCAGCAGGATCACAGCAGTTTCTTCTTTTTACATCCTTTTTCTGCTCTTCTCAGTGCCACAGTTAAAGAAAAACCTCTACCTAGGTGTTTATATGGACCTAATCATACTATCTGATCACCAGGGCATTATCAAATAGAATCTAACTGCTACTTTCTCCAATTACAAAGACTAAATCACTTAATACTTATTTTAAAAATATTTTTTTATCCTGATATTTGCCTTTTAAAAAAAGTTTCCCACCATATGTTACTAGTAATTCCTTAGTTAACTGGAAGTTAGTGTGTTTTTTTTAATCTGTTTTTAAAAACTCCGATTACTTTTTGCATGTTTCTCAGCTTGTAACATGAAAACAGACTAGTCAGTTTCACTTTCAGGTTCTCATGCATTGCAGTGCTGCACAGTTCAAGTTGCAAACACTGCAGAGACCTGTTTTTGTTTAAACAAAATTGTTTCTATTGGAATAAAAATAAAATTATTAAACATTTCTACTGGTCTTAAGTTTGCGATGACTTCTTTTTACAACACATACATTTTGGGTTAAGCTTGGTAGGCCTACATGTCCCTTTGAATGTCTTCACTATAATGAAAAACGAACAACAATCAGAAGGTCAATCCTAAATTTGATTAGGATTTTTAAAAAGCATTGGAAATCCAAGTTTTCAAGTTGTTGTACAGTCTATATATTTTTAAATCCACAGAAATTTTTTTGTACCTTTATTAACATTCTGGCCTCCGGGTCCACTGCTCCGGCAATAGGATATGGACAGACGATCTAAGAAGACAAGAGCGCAGGAGTGCTTAATCCCACAGCCAGATCTACAACTAATCACACAGTAAGAAACAGAGAAAAGAAATGATCTAAATCAGTGTCTCTCAACCTTTCCGAACTACTGTCCCCTTGCAAGAGTCTGATTTGTCTTGTGTCCAGTTTCACCTCATTTAAACTACTTGCTTACAAAATCAGACATAAAAATACAAGCGTCACAGCACACTATTACTGAAAAATTGTTTACTTTCTCATTTTTACTATATAATTATAAAATAAATCAATTGGAATATAAATATTGTACTTACAGTTCAGTGTATAGTATATAGAGCAGTATAAACAAATCATTGTCCGTATGAAATTTTAGTTTGTACTGACTTCACTAGTGCTTTTTATCGAGCTTGTTGTAAAACTAGGCAAATATCTAGATGAGTTGATGTACCCCTGGAAGACCTCTGCGTACCCCCAAGGGTAAGACCCACTTAAATGATGTGGGGATGGGGGAGAGAATGCAAGTTGAAAGTTGAAATGACCAACTCAGAATCCAGAATGTATAAACCCACTGTTCTGTTACAAGGAAACGTGCTTACAGATTATCTAATCAGTTAGGGCCTGATCCAAACCCTACTGAAATACTGAAATCAGTGGAAAGACTACTAGTGGAGTGGGTTTTGGACCAGTACTTTACTGCTGTTAATTCCCAAAACGAGAGTTAAAGAATTCCACCTTATTCCACCCCACCAAAATACTTTTCTTGCTCAGGTTCAGAAAGGCTTTAACCATTATAGGCAAGATTTTCAGTCTCATTGCTTTATATTAAATACTGATCTACCTTATCCAAGTCATTCTAAATTTTAATTGCCCTTCTGCATTACATTTCCTCCACCTATCCCATTTTCTATCATCAAATATCATAATCATCATATAGACTCTCTTCCAGCTCTTATAGTGTACAAAACAAATTCAGGATTAATTCAGTTTCTTGTCAGGTTCCTCCACCCTCTTCTTCCAGTCATCAACACATCTTGTGCACAAAACTTATTCTATGATCACTTCCTTATGTTTATGGGTAACATTTCAATGCTAATGGAAGCTGTAGAAATGAATACTTTGCTAATGACTTACTACTTTGCTTTTTGTTGTTTCTGCGCAGGTAACTGAAATCTTTTAGATTATTTTAATTGATTTACTGACAATAAAACCCCACTGAAAGCAATTTGGACAAAGAAAAGGCATTTCTCTTATAGGCTAGACTTACCCACAGGAATATCAGGAGAGGTTTGTTTTGTCCCATCCTATAAAATACACACACACACACAATGAAGCAACTGCCATTTGATGCTACAGAAAGCATTTTTGCAATAAAGTCAGTCTCCAGAGCAATTTAGAAGAAAATATAATTACAGAAGCTATTGCTGCATAACTACTCTATCTTTCAGAAAATGACATATTCAAAATTGTCTTGTGAAAACATCCCTGTAATCAGTTGTATATCCTGGACCTAGAACTATTCTTTTATCTAGTGTATGCATCTGAGAGTGTGTTGCTGCAGAGGCCTGGTTTATAATTCTCATTTTTGCACCTTTCACCTGTGGTGTCCATGCTGGATATTTTCCTCTTTCCCTTGTAAACAGATTAGCTCATGTGTTGTCTTACACAATCCTGCTCTACAGGCTTTTTCCACACAAGCTGTTTTTATTGTCTAATTTAGGTATTTGTGATATGCCATCCAGACATTCCATACATGTTGTACTAGTACAGCCTCACCTTTCCACTGCTCTCCCTTTTTCTCCATAATTATGCTACATCACTTGGTGTTTTTTTCAACTTCCCACTGGAGACTGACATCTTTGCCATGACAGACACCACAACCAAACTATCATCATCAAGGATGCTGTTACTCTTTTTATCTTAGGTCTTGTCTACACTACCACTTTACAGCACTGCAACTTTCTTGCTCAGGGGTGTGAAAAAACAAGTTTCAGCGCTGTAAAGTGGCAGTGTTGGAGGTTACTCCCCTTGTGGAGGTGGGTTGTTTACAGCGCTGGAAGAGCTGCCGCTAGTGAAAACATATCCTTAGAGTCTCCTGTTTTTTGTTGCTGAGGTTCTGCTCCCTGTAAAGCCCAGCACCCAGGACAGAAACTGGTCCTCAAAGTAACTTCTACTACCAAGAGACATCATATGAAGCTGTGCTGCAAGGCTGTTTCTCTAGCACAGGATAATGTCATGGGGCAATAGACCACAGGGAGCAGTCTGAAACCACCCCACAGGCATGACATAGCCACTAAAGGGGGGGTTGTTTTGAATGAAACAAGGGACAACAACAGTTGCATATAACTTGACATCACCTATTATTTGCTGCCACTATGCCCCCCCCCCCCCGCATTGCACTCAAGCCACGCCCATCACCTTCTATTACTATCAGGCCCCACCCACTGCAGTCTACCCGCCCCTCTGTCCCCTCCCACTTCTATCAGGTCCCACCCATTGCAATCAAGCCACGCCCCTGCCCTGACGTTCTGCCTTGTCCCCGCCCCACACACTTGGGTCTCCTCCTCGGCGTCGCTTCTCTTCTGCTCCGGATAGAGCCTGTCCAGGGCATATTGGCTCCGGAACTCGGAGCTGGGGGCGGCGCCGGCGGCGGCTCGGTGTAGGATGCCTCGGGGGGTCCGGGCGGGGAGCAGCGCCGGCCTCGCCCAGCAAAGGCCCCGCAACACGCGCGCCGCCATCTTGGGTCCTCTGCGTGCACTCCCCTTAGGTGTCCGCCGTCCGTCCGGGAAACAGCGACTGCGCTGCGGGGGTTCCGGGGCAAGTTTCCTCCGGTCCGTGCTGCTGTGAGTGCAGGCGGGTCAGGGACGGGGCTGCGGTTTGCCGGGTGGGAGCTGCTGCGGACACTAGGGGCGCCCACGCCGCGTGGCGCCTGCAGGATAACGTGGCGTGGGCCCAGCACTCCCAAGAGGCCTGGTTGCGTGGGGCTGTCCCGCTCTGACCCCCAATAGCCAAGCCCCTGCCCCATGCCTCCCCATCGGCCTCCACACAGGGGGTTGCAGCGTCACTCGCTCAAATTTGGCATAGCTGTGTCCTGCCCCCTCCCGCACCCCCGGTCGGGGAGGCTGGGCCAAACCTGAGCAACACCGTGCCCCAGGGCCAGCTTGCAACGCGCGTAGGTCCAGCCGGGCCCATGGGGCAGGAGCCACCACAGAGGGGTGAGTGCAGGCAGCCTTGCTTTGCAACCACGCTTGCCCCTCTCCCCCTCAGTTCCCCACTCCCTGGGGGCAGGACCGAACCCTGCAGCCTCCCTCTCCCCAGGGCAGACATGGCTTCCCACCCTCCTGGGGGCAGGACCCATCCTGCTTTAACCACTGGAATGGTTGGGAGGGATGTGGAATGGTGGTGGGGTTCCCAGGTCAAGCAGAGGTGTCCTAGATTCCAAGGCCAGAAGGGATCCTTGTGATGATCTAGGTCAAGGGTTATCAAACTGGGGGTCATGACCCCTCGGGGTAGTGAGCTTATTACATGGGGAGTCATGAGCTGCCAACCTCCATCCCAAACTCTGCTTCTCCTTCAGCATTTATAATCATGTTAAATATAAAAAAAGTGTTATTAATTTATAAGGTGGGGGGGTTGCACTCAGAGGCTTGCTGTGTGAATGGGGGTCACCAGTACAAAAGTTTGAGAGCCACTGATCTAGGGTGACTGTTTAACACAGGCCAGAGAATGTTCTCTAATTTCCTTTGGGCCGTGCAGTGACACATGGTGGCGATGTGTGGCTCTGTGATAATGTTGCGTATTGCGGGGTGCGCTAATGCCTTGACTTTGGGTGCAGATGTTACCTATCCCTGTATTGTGCACTGATCAGTATTTCTGTTTTGGCAATCCCAAATGTTCAAAAATCACGAGTACTCCTCTCCCCCTCTCAAATCATAGGATTGATTTAAAAATCATGAGAGTGAAGAAAAAAACATTTGGAATTCTTTATTTGCATTCTAGCTTTTGCATGGTTAGGGTTCATGTGTTCAAGCTTATCTTTGCAATCATGATGGTTAGAAACTTTTTTAAAAATGAAAGCTGAGATTCTGGTGTATTTCCATGACTCCAGGCTCTAGGGCCTTAACAAAAACATCAAGTATATTAAGTCTTGCATAAAATTGTGAGAGTTGGTAACACTGGTATTTTACAGTAAAACCTCCAGTCCCAACAGCATATGCTAATGTTACTACACAGGGCCGGCTCCAGGCACCAGCTGGCCAAGCAGGTGCTTGGGGCGGCCACTCAGGAGGGGGGCAGCACGTCCAGCTATTCGGCGGCAATTCGGCAGACGGTCCCTCACTCCCGCTCGAAGCTACAATATCTTGGGCTAATCCCTATAAAATCCCAGAGTATTTTCATTTTTGTAAGAATGAGAGGGTGCATATCACAAGTAGTTATGTCTCCACCCCCTCTTTAATGATTACATAGAGTAATAATGAAGTGTTTTCTGGGCACCTGGACTTCTCCAATAGAGCAGAGATAAGGCCCAGTCCTGTGAGATTCTAAGAGCCTTATGCAAAATGCTGAGCACTCTCCATTTCCCTTGAAATAGGAACTTTACTACTTGATAGAGACTGGCAGGAGTCACTGCTTCTGGCAGTAGGGTAATGGGCAAAGTGGGGACAGTACTGCCAGAGCCTCTTATGTTTTGGCAGGAGTAGAAATGGTTTTAGAGGTAAGAAGAACCCTTAGTTTAAACTGCAGAACGAAGTCAAGATGGTTGAAAAGTTGGTGTGGTGGGAGGCTACTCTGCATGTGTAGGGGCTGCGTAACGGATCTGAGCTTGGGTCTCTGGTAATCGCTGCCGAGGCAGCACGCTCAGCTCCTTGGGAAAGGAGTTAAATGTTTCATGTACTGCTACGGCTGACGCTAAGCAGTGCTGATGGGCCATGGAGGGCACTGCGTTTTGTTTTAATCTGATCTGTGTAGTACCACGGCAACGCAGGTTGTTTGGGAGTGGAGACCCTGGGGACTTCTGCTCTGATAATTGAATGCTTTAAAAAAAAAAGTCAGTCATCAGAGCCAAGTCATGCCATCTGGTGACCTTAATTTCAAGCAACAAACAGGTAAATGTTTATGATTTGTAGCCGAAGGGATGGAGAAGAAATAGCTGTAGCAGGATGATCCACTTTGCCAACTGTTGTTAAACCTGTCTGCATTATTGTCTCACTGGCTGTACATGCCAAGAGGACATCAGAACGAAGGTGACTGAAGTGACCCAATTGAACGCAAATTTTGAATGAAGAGACCTTTCCTCTTTTTCCACCTGTCAGTCGAGAGCCCTGCCACAAGAACCCTGTGTGAAGCACGGAGGATATTGGGTTACAACCAGCACCCTTTCACCTTTCTCTTGTTTAGAGGCAGGGTATGGATAAGAGATGTGCATGTAGAGAGGGCTTGGATAAGACTTGACTTTGATGTAACTCAAACAGAACCAAGCTTTTAAGGCTTAATGAAGCATGGAGAATTAAAACCACCAATGTTGGGGCTTGTTTTTAAAGCAGGTTCATTCCATCTGGTGACATATGTTATTGTGGAGCAGGGGCTGTACGAAACCATCCTATAATTTATGATGGTGGACTGATGTGCCTAAGGATGTATTCACACCTTGCAAAGTGATCCTATCAGATTTCACAAGCCAGTTGGGCTGGGCCAGGTCCATACTTGGATGGGAAACTTCCATAGAAACCATAGGTGCTACAGGAAATGATGCAGGTGACTCCGTAGATGGCATTTTTCTCTCTGAGGCCTCAGTTCTGGAAAGCACTTAAGCTTTGCTTAAGGAAATCCATTCCTATTCCTGATTACGGAGACTTTTCTGATTTGGGACTTGAATTGGAACCAACTCATTGTCCCAGAGTGATGCCGATAGAGCTGGGCTGGGTGTAAGTGCTGTCTTTCAAACGCAAAGTAAAACTGAGTTTTAGACCACTTGTGGTCATTAAAGATTCTCAGACACCTATTCTGCTGAACCTAGGTATTCTGGCCAAATTCTGATCCTGCTGCTCTAAATTTCCCCTGCAATTGCAACGGGGTACAGTTTGTTGTTCACTTCCTGTCCTAAACCGTTTAAGGGTGTTTCTGTGTGGTGTTACACAGATGCCACCTTCCATTAGACAGCTGTCTACATTTCCATGGTGGGTAAAACGATCGTTATATCTTCTTGACCTATCTCTTAATAGTGCTGGGATGCTTAATTAATTAATATTTGTAAAGCACTTGGAGATCCTTAAATATAAGATTCTGTTTAAGTGCAAAAATGCTTATTTTGTCCTTTTCATAGGGGCGCAGTTCACTGGAACCCTCATTTAAAACAAACCAACTCCCTCCCCCAATTGACTGTGAATCACAAGTCTCTCTGTGTGTATGGCCACTAATATTTTTGGACGCAGAAAGGATGCTCTCAGCACTTTGCTGTACAAGCAGCTGATATACTGCAGCTGTTCCTTTGTTAAGCCAAGTGTTAATACCTTGTCACTTGCATGACTAATTTTTCTGGATCCTGTTTTTAAATTAAAAAAAATAATCCGCATTTGTGTTGGGTATTCAGAATTTTGCAAGTTAACGGACTGTTGAGAATTGATAAGGCAGTGCGTTTTCATGATGTGGTTGGTGATAATAACCCGAATACATGAAATGTATGTTATATAAATAACTATAGCTGTATATTCACTCTGCTGCATTCTCTCCAACTTCTCGCAAGGAGCCTAAAGCATTTTCTTGCCCTACATCATGCCAGAAATTCAAAGAAACAGCACGACCTGATATTCTTGGAATCAAAAACAGCCACAAAGAAAGTTTCAGCTTTCAGAATACCGGGGTTTCTTTTTATTTAGGAAGAGAATAAAGCATTTTTAAATATATTTATCTGATGTACACTTAAACTGAGATGCTGGTTCATACTTTACAGTGTTTGAAACCGAAAGTGATAGTGATCCCCTTCACACTGATGCAACAAACAGATGACTTTAGAACAGACAAAGGTTCAAAAGTCCCCTAGTATAAAGATTTAGGTAAAGGAACATTAATAATCAACACACCAAGTATCATGACAGTGGCAACAAAGAGCATGGTGAATTCTCTGAGAAAATCTACTTGATGCTTACTTTTTTTTTTTTTAACTAACTGCTTTCCATTATAAATAAATAAGGCATGAAGGTTCTCCATACGGTTACCAGACTGGTAGCCACAATCATGTGTATGGCTCCTAATACTTCAGAGTTTGGGGCCACTGGCCATCTGAAAATGTCAAGGGTGCAAGAGAGAAGCTTTTGGCATTGGGTGGGAAGGGGGAGGGTATTTGCAGAACTGGGTCCCTCTGGCAGGCCAATCTAAGAGGCAGCAGTGGTGATGGTTTGGAGGTCGCACCTTTGCAAACGGCCATGATGGCAGCTTTTTGAAAAAGACCGAGGGACTGATGCTGCAAAGTGCTGAGCGCTCAATCCTCGCTAATTTCAGTGGGAGCGGAGGGCGGTTGGCTCCTCACGGGGTCAGGTCCTGAATTTGGAGAATAAGACAATGGAGGGGGAAAAAAAGAAAATGAGATAAATTATGCTAAAAAATAACCAAAAGCCAGATTCTGATCTCGTTTATACCAGTGTAACTCCAGAAAAAGAGACTTTGGGATTTAAGCTGGTGTAAATGAAATCAGAGTCCAGCCCAAAGTTTCCTTAAGTGCATGTTGAATACTGTTCAGTAATTTATAACTTCAGTAACTTATACCAACAGTCAGGATCCTCCCCTGCAGCTGAGCGCTCTGGGTCTGTATCTGAAGCTCTAGTGAAATGCTGTTTATCTGCATATATTCATGAGCCCCGCAAGATGCCACATACAAATGTCTGACCAAACAAGGCCCACTCTTGGTTTCTGAGAAATGGATACTGGTGATTCCTGAGATTGGGGAGGCCTTTTGTGTGTGTGTGTGTCTGCATCTCTCAGTGGGCGTGTGAAGAGAGTAGAGAGATTCTGATGCTGGCAAATTAATTTGGAATATTTAAAACTCCATGGCAGGTGACAACCTTTGGAAAAGGCAACTCAGCCAAGTTAGATTATTGTCAGCAGAAAACTCTGTCTGTCAGCTCAGTCAGGAGTATTAACGGTGAAGGTCTGGGGACAGTGTGATAAATACTGTTGTTGGTAATCACTGCTCTTAACACTTTAATAATGTGGTGCTTTG